CAGGGCAAGGTTCAGATCTGTTGTTCGTAGGGTTGCTATCAGTTGTAGTCAGCTTGAGAGCACCCACCAGGGCCACCCTGCAGCTGCTGTGATTACCCTCACTTTTAGTCTGCTTCTGTTCTTTGTCATTTACAAACTACTTTTATATTCATTAAATCACTAATCTTCAGGCAGAGATAACTTAGGATGTATGACTATCCCCATTTTATAGTTGAAGAAACTGAACCTTTTATGGATTACGTGGTTTTTTGTTTTGTTTTGTTTTGTTTTTTGGATTACGTGTTTTAACCTGGCAGAGCCTAGACTCCAAAGTGGATCCCGGAATTCCTCCCCTCCCCACCATGCTAATCTGCAGTGAGCACATAGCAGAGAATACAGCCTCTATGTATTAAAGAAATGGTAGTGAATATGATGTGGTGAAGTTCACCAAAACAAAGGGTTGTTGCATGTGAGTTTTAAGGTAGTCCAGCCCTTGGTAGTCATGGCCAGGAGATGGTATTCTTGTAAGGGAAGGGCACATGAAAACTGAGAAGTGGCACTACCACAGCTTGTGTGAGGTTGGAAGAGCCTGTGTGGACAATAAGAAAGATGCAGATTAAAACCACAATGAGATACCATTGCGCCCCAGTAGCAGTGGCAAAGTTTAGGAGAGCAGCAGGCAATAAATGTTGGAGAGGTGGGAACTCTCAAACACTGTTGATGGGATTATAAAATGGTACAGCCACTCTGGAAGACAGTTTGGTGTTTCCTCAAAGAGTTGGACATAGAAACTCCATATGACCCAGCTATTCCACTACTAAGAATATACCCCAAGGAAATTAGAACTGAGACACAAATGGAGATTTATACATCAGTGCTCATAGCAGCATTATTCACCATCACAAGAACATGGAAACAGCCTAAATGTCCAACCACACAAAATGGAATGAGAAATTGTGGTACATACACACAGTGGAATACTATGCAGTAACTCAGAAGCAAAGATTTCAAAAGATACTATGTAATTTGGGAGAGACTGGAGAGCATTATGTTGAGTGAATTTACGCAGTCTCATAAGAACAAATACAGCATAAAACCATTATTGTAAAAATAGAAGGATAACTATTAAAACATGTATGGGAGCTCAGTGAGGGAGGACTGAGGATAGTTGAGGGCAAAACCACAGGGGTACACAGTTTGGTGGGTGGAGGCAGGAGGAGGTGGTAATTGGAGAGGAAATGGAAAGGATCTGAGAGAAAAGACAGGGTAATGATGGACAAGGTCTAGAGTTGATTAATTTTATAAAGCATAATGCATGAGAATGATTATATGAAATAAAAAGTGAATGAAGATTAGTGTGAAACAATGTATACAAACTTTGTAAGCAAACCAATTAAGAAAAATGAAAAAAATGAAGAAGAGCCTAGATGGAGCTTGTAGAGATGGGGCCTGCCTACAGAGTACAGAGCTACCTGTTCAGAGGGCTCTGAGACTAGCAGGAAGCAGAGGGGAGGGGACACTGAGGGGAGCACGCCAGATTGAGAAGCTACAAAGAGACTATTTTCTGGAAGAGACAAAGTTATGAGCAGTTGTTATAGTTACACAGAACTGACTTCTTTATACTCCTGAAGCACTAGCTTAGGCACAAGAATCAGACAGAGTTGGAATTAAAGTTCAGTGTGTAATTGTGAGCAGGTTCTCTAACTTCTCTGCACATATTTCTCATCTATAACACAAATCCAGTTCTGTGCTCTGCCTGCCTCGGAGAGGCCGACTGAGACTCAAATGAAATTGTATCTACTGAAATTTTTCATAGACTGTAAAGGGCTAGCAGATTAAATAGGTGCATTTGCTGGCCCACAGGAAGAGTCCCTATGACCACATCCTAAATGGGTTCCAGGTCTCCAGACTGTCCTCCCTTTCCCCGGTCTGGGAACCTCAGATCTCTCAGCCTTATTCCCTAGCCACTCTGCTAACTGTACACACTGACACCTTCCTGTGTGGTGGTGGTGGTGGTGGTTGTTATGTGCCATCAAGTTGCCTCAACCAGTAGCAACCCTATGTACAGCAACTCTGAAACCTGCCCTCTCCTGAGTCAGTCTCACTAATTCCAACACTCCTACCCCCATTGCCCCAATCACTGTATCAATCCATCTCATGGGGAGTCGTCTTCTCCTGAGTTGTCCCTCCACCTTTCTGAGCATGATGTCCTTTTCCTTTGCAAAGACCATGGCCTGGATTAGGCACACCTTAGTCTCGATTGACATCGTTGCTTTTCAGGACTCTGGAGAGGTTCCTGACAGCAGATTTTCCCAGTGCAATTCATCTTTTAATTTCCTGACTGCTGGTGTTAGAATGTCAATTGTGGAGCCAAGCAAGCTGTAACTGTTAACAACCTCAATCTTTTCTCCATCCATCATGGTGCTGCCATTTGGCCCAGTGGTGATAATCTTTGTCTTTTTGATGTTGAACATCAATCCATGTTGAAGACAACAGTCCTTTAACTTCTGCAGCAAGCTCTTCAGGTCTTCTTCTGTTTCAACAAGCAGCGTTATGTCATCTGCATAATGTAGGTTGTTGATGGGTCTTCCTCCTCCTCATAAAGCCCTGCTTTCCGAATGATCTGTAGTCCCTCCTAAATACTTCCATTTTCCACTTTGTCAGAATCCATCTGCTTGGCTGTTTTTCTCTTCAGATATTAGAAATAGCCAGTGTTGTAATTGTTCAATGGTTGACATTTTGCCTATTTCATTGAGAATCCAGATTAAGCCCATCCCAGACCCCTTCCTCGGGTCATCCAAACTGACCAGGGACAGCTGCACAGTAAGGCGCGCCCAGCATTATAAAGATCTCCTTCCCTGGGACTGGGGAGAAGATGGCCCCTGGCATAATCTAATCCCTTATTCTCCATGGCAGATTTCATATTTCATAGCCCCGTGATGCGTAGTTCTCAGAAGGAGAAGTCAAGGTCAGAACCTCAGGCACTGGCACCCTGGAGGGGACCCATTTCCTCAGTCCACCTGTCTACTTGATTCCTGGGTACTTGTACATCTCTAAATACTGCATGGAACTGAATCCAGTTCATGCCCAGCTTCTTCTCAACTTAGATGCGCAGTTCATCCATCTTTTGGAAGAACGTGGCTCCTCTTAGGTGATCCCTGTCTCGTTTACTCCAACTCATATATGTGCTCATCCTCATTCACAGCTGGAGTGTTCACCAAAGCCATTTGCCATGTTATAATACTTTTACTACCTTAAATACCCTTACTCTTCATCCTTGCCTCCAGTGGTACACCAGGTACTTTACCCTCAGCCGTGCTTTGACCTCTCTCTTCATCCCCAGGTTTTCAAGTGCCTATGGGTTCTCCCCTAGCTAGCCATACCAGAGGATCTGGGCTAGAAAATTGAGAGCAGATCTGAATGCTAACCCAGGGGAGAAGGTTAAGTTTTGTCCTCAAGCCCCCTTTAGGATTATCAGAACTACATAGTGCTTTGGATGCAGCAGTAGAGATTGAGGTGAGAAAAATCATAAACAGAGGGTAGAACTCCTAAGGTAGGCATTCAGGGTTTGCATAAGCTGATCCCACCACATGAGCAGTACTTCTGTTCATTTCTCCTCCTGCTGGCCTTTCCATCATCAATCCCATTTCTTCCAGAAAGCCTCCCCCGATTTCTGAAGGCCTATTTAGAATCTAACACTTCAGGAAAATAGACACTTATCTGACCTCTAAAGTTCCCGTTAGGCTCTTAGCACTTCAGGAAAGACAGACACACCCCTAGGAGTGTCAGCTCTTTCTTGATTGACTTGTTTTCTGAGCCCCTTGTCCCATGACATAGCTCCCTTTACTAATCTTCTTTCAGCACTCCAGGTCCAAGACCAAACATGCTGCTCCATCTGCAGACTGACCTTGACATCACACTGTGTTCTGTCCTCATGATTATGTTAGTGGAACTCAGATGATACTTTTTAAAATAACCACACACAATGAAAAAGGAGATAGGTTTAGAGAGAGAAGTGATTCTCCCTGGCTGTGTGACCTGGACAAGTCCCTTTGTCTTTGGTTTCCCGTTCTGTGTAATGGAGGAATGAATAAAAACCATCTGCTCAGAGTGCTTTTGTGGGCCATGGGTAAATAAGAAGTTGACAGTGTTTCCACTGTGCCTACTGTAGTATAATCAATAAAAAGGTTTTCTTATCATTCTGCCACACTGCTAATTCCTTCTCTCACACTTAAGCAGTGCTTCTGAGCCTAATCTTTTCCATTCCGTACTTTGGCATTAATTTCTTCGGGTTGAATACATAGTCCTTGATTATTTATTTCCTCTTGAAGAAGAAAAGTCAAGTCTCCCTCTAGCAGAGCTGAGTCCCTGAAGGACCTTCTGCAGATCTGTCCCACTCCTCAACCCACTGGACATTATGATGACCCAAAACTAACCAAGAGCCTTATCCATGACTTCCATGCCCTACAGTTCACACTGTCCTTGAATGGCTTCTAGAGAGTACATTTTGCTGTTTCTACTTCCTCTTTCACACAGTAGAGCCGGCCTCAGTGGCCCCAAGTGGGACAGTCCAGTGTTCACACTCCAGATCCCCAAGGATCTACTGTGGGTTTCTGCCTCTCCTGTTTGCTTAGGGAGTAGACGTCTCTTGTGATGAGTAGATGAGTAACCAGCTGAGCTAAAGTTTCTCTCCAGTTCTCCTTCTCCAGCCCCCCACCCCCTTCACCTCCATTCACCATCCACCCGCCTTTCCGTTTCCCTGGCAACACTGAGTGCTCATCCTGGAAAACTTTATCCGAAATCTGCTCTGGGCAGCTTTCCAAATCCATGCTAACCTGATTAGGTGTCTCTAGGGGCCTTGCCAGCTAATCAGATTAGGCAGCACTAATGGTAGTGAGGACTTTGAGTGGGCGCAGAGCAGTAAAACATATTGTATACTTAGTGATAATTATCCTGCCTTTTGTGTCATTGATTTATCTGCCTCCCGCTCTGTCCCCCCCATCTTGTGTGTTTGTCCATAGCGATCCGGAGGAAAGAGAATGGCTGGTATGACGAAGAGCACCCTCTGGTCTTCCTCTTCTTGGGATCATCTGGAATAGGTAACTGGGAGCATTCTCAGCCAGTGGGGAAGGAAAACTGGGGAGGGGGTCAACCCAAGCCTGACAGTCCCAACTTTACAAACCAGGGTCACAGACTCATCTCAACTCCCAGCTCTGCATGTGGATCCAAAACAACTGCCTCCAAATTACAGACCCACCAACAGGCCTTCTGTTTTTCATCATTGTCATAGGCAGCTAGAATTTTGCCCCTCTCTCTGGAAGTTAGGGAGGGTAATAGCCTAGAGGGTAAAGAGTTGCACTGCAAATCCAGCGGTGGGTAGTTCGGATCCACCAGCAAACTTGAGAGAGAAACATGGACACTCTATCCCCGTGTGATTTATAGCTTCTGAAAATCCATTGGCGGGTCACCCATGAGCCAGTTCTGTCTCCATGGCAATGAGATATTACTCTGGAAGCTGTTGTGCAAAGGACTAATTCATCTGAAGGACCAGTTCATTCAGAACCTGGTTTAGCTACTCTACATCCCTTTTGGAACATTGGAACCACCTCCCCTGCGTGGTAACACCACCCATACACAGCATGGGAGCTCTCTCATTAGGAAGTTAAGTAAAGCCCCTGCTTATCAGCGCAGTGCCAAGTACAATACAATGTGTTGTGTATTTCCCTACTAAGTTGGGCTGGATTATCTGAAACATTCTCAGCTTGTCATTCTCTGCCCTCAGAGACCCCTGTCTTCTCTTCCCTCCCATTATCCTCATGGGCCTGTCTTTCCATCAGATATATTATCCCAGAAGATTACATAACCTGACCAAGATAGTACTGAACTAGGCTTCCTTTAATAGACAGTGTCTTTCAAAGGCTTTAAGCATATCAAATGCTTTAGAATCTCCATTACTGTAATTTTTTTTTAAAATCTTTACATTGTTCTTTAAGTAGAAGTTTACGGAAAATTGGTTTTCCATTCAGTTATTTATATAAATATAAATATAAATATAAATATAAATATAAATATAAATATAAATATAAATAATTTATGACATTAATTACAATCCCTACACTTGCTCTCTCCTTCCTCCCTGTGTTCTCTTTTCACTTCATCTTTTCTAGCCCTTCCTGACTTCTGAGCTTTCACCCTGCACTTTTGATTTTGGAGCACTGATAGTTCCACCAAGTGTTTTTATTTACCTTGTGAGCCTGTCTATTCTTTGTTTCCATGAAAATTTTGAACCACAGGACTGACTTTAGTTCTAGGTTCAAAGAGTGAGTAAGGGTTAAGCCTGTCTCTACAAGACTAGCAAGCTTGGCCATTTTTATGACTTTTCATTTTGTTCCATGTTTTCTTCCGTGCTGCCCAGGACCCTCAACTGTGATCCATTTTCGAGAAATCAGCAGGAGTAGCTAGGCATCACCCAGTTCTTCTGGTCTCAAGATAGTAGAAGTTGAAGTTCAGGGGTCCTTTAGTCCATTGAACTAGTTGTTTCCATGTGTCTTTGATTTTCTTTGTCCTTTTTTGTTCTGTACAGAGAGAGACTAATCTTAGGTGCATCTTAAATTGCCATGCACAAACTTTTAAGTCCACAGTCATTACTCGCCAAAGTACAGTGAACTTTATTTTTGTTATATTCAATATTTTTTTCAATTTGTGTGTGTGTGTGTGTGTGTGTGTGTGTGTGTGTACACACCATTAAATCAGATCTGACTGGTACAGGAGGAGATTGTCCCTCCTTCCCCAGCAGAGCATCTGTTGGATTTGAACCATATACCTCTGGGATTGCAGTGCAGCTTCTTGCCACTAGGCCACCAGAGCTCCCTAGAACTTTATTTTTGTGGACTATGTTCTACCATTTGACCTTGATGTCCCCCTAGGCTGTGGGTCCTGAGGCCCTCAGATTAGCAGCTCATTCCTTCAGGATGTTTGGCTATAATTAACTAGTTTACGTTATTTTGCCCCATTTAATCTAGTATATTCTTAGCTATATTTTTGTTGTTGTGTGCCATCGAGTAAGACCCTACTCTTAACTGATCCTCCAGCAGGTATTGAGAGGCTATAAATCATGCAGGGGGAGATCACCCATTCTTCTTATGGAATATATTTATAATGCATATAAATACGCAAAATTGGGAAGGGTGTACGCCAGGGATGTGTCCTGTCCCCATACCTTTTCAACCTGTATGCAGAGCAGATTATGCAGGAGGCTGGGCTCTATGAGGAGAATTATGGCATATGCAGGTGACACAACCCTGCTTGCTGAAACCAAGGAGGACCTCATGCACTTGCTGCAGAGGGTCAAGGACTGCAGCCTTCAGTATGGACTGAGGCTCAATGTCAAGAAGACAAAGATTCTCACCACTGAACCAATTGGTAGCATCAGGATGGATGGCAAAGAGATTGAGATTGTTCACAGCTTCAGTTTGCTCGGCTCCACAGTCAACACTCTTGGCACCAGCAGTCAGGAAATCAAAAAACGTATTGCCATGGGAAAGTCTGCTGTTAATGACCTCTCTAAAGTACTCAAGAGCAATGATATCTCTCTGGAGACTAAGGTGTGCCTGATACAGGCCATGGTCTTTGCAATCACTTGTTATGCATCAGAGAGTTGGACAATGACTAGGGAGGACAGAAGGAGAATTGATGCTTTTGAGCTGTGGTGCTGGAGAAGAGTATTGAATGTACCATGGACTGCCAAGAAAACAAACAGATTCATCCTAGAGAGGGTTAAACCAAGCTACTCCTTGGAGGCAAGGATTCTGGGGCTTCATCTTACATACTTTGGGCATGTTGCAAGGAGGGACAGGTCCTTGGAGAGGGACATCATGTTTGGGAGGGTGGAGGGACAGTGCAAGAGGGGAAGACCCTCTATGAGATGGATTGATTCAGTGACTGGGGTAATCGGGATGGGTGTGTCAGAGGCAGTGCGATTGGCACAGGATAGAGTAGGGTTTAGGGCTGTTGTACATAGGGTCGCTATGAGTCGCAAATGACTCGACGGCACTTAACAACAACAACAAAATAAATATGCGTGTAGAAATAATCTGACAAACCTATGTATGGTCATTGGTATAGTCCTTTTCACCTTCCCATATCTGTTCATCTAGCATTGTCATGTCTTTATGTTACTCCCCCACAGAGCTCACTACAGTATAAGGCAGACCACCTACTGGTAATCTTGCTATAGGGTTTCATAAGCCTTCCAGTCACCCATTTTTCAGATGTGCAACTGAGGCTCCAAATGACCTGTCTGGCATTACAATATGACCCAGACCCCATTCTCTTACACAGGTGCTGCCCCCAGGGACTTTCTGCATTTTGGGGACCCAAACAGAACTATGGGCTGTGGAGTCAGTATGAGATATTATTTATTCCCTCCCAGCCTCTCTTTGGCATGTGTCTTCAAGGCCTGGATGGTAGGGCAATGGCTGTCCAGAGAGAAGCTGGGTAGTGAGTGGGACATCAGTACAGAGCTGATGTTTATGCAGGGCATCAAAGGACAGACATGCTTCGCATTCTCACAGGAATAAGTGAATCACTGTCCTTCTCTTTGAGTCTCTGTGTTCCTATCCATAAAATGTATTCTTTCTATATACTTGCATTTATGGTATTCTTTGATTGCAAGAAATAATCATCTAGTCCTAACCCACCTCCTCTTTCTCCTTTCTTACCAGGAAAAACAGAGCTGGCCAAGCAGACAGCCAAATATATGCACAAAGATGCTAAAAAGGTAAGGCCTGGGACATGGCTCTGATCTGCAGATGGAGACCTCACATCTCCTTCTGTCGCCCCCTAAAAACAACATGGGATCCATAAATTCAACAAAAGCTAACCAAAATGGTTCGCTGTGGGCCAAAACAAGTTGTCCAACTCCTTTTGTAAGCGCGATTTCTTATGCCTACACCTATAAACTAGTTATAGTCCTCCTCACCCACTGCCCCATAAGTTAGAGAGGGCCATCCCCATTCTCTGTTTGTTCAGACTCTGGCATTCCTAGACCTGCTCAGTCTGTCTTTCCAGACTGACAGGAACTGCTGTAATGCAGAGAGAAATGTCAGAGAGAGCGGTCCTCAGAGAGAACGCAGGAACATTTCCACTAAAGCCTCCTTTGGTCTCCTACTAGCCTTCCTGGTATGAGAACTAAGGCACAAGTGGTCGCCCTGCCTGCTATCAGAATTGCCTCTGACCCCAGGACCCTTTGTCTGTTGTCTGTGGGAAGCCTCCCAGGTGAGGCAGTAAGGTTTCTGTCAGCCATCAGCCCCAACAGTACAGTCCTAGGTGCTTCATGTCCATCTTCTGCACTAGCTTCCCCCTCGCTGCCAGCCTAAAAGCCTGGCAGCCTCCAAAACAATTGATTGAGGCTGTAACGCTCTGGGTTATACTTGATGGCCCCAAATCATTCCTTCTCTCCTGGAACTGGCCAACAGCTGCTGAGCCCCCCTGGCTCTGCCAGTTGCTATATTCTGCCACCGTCAAGCCCAGAACAGCCCACTTGACAGGCAAACAGGAAACAGCACATGGCTTACTAATGTGCTCCAACCAATGTAGCATTTTTAAAGACAATTCGTCAGGTTGGCAGCGATTGAAACAATTAGCACTCTGGGAAGGGCCATAAACTAACAAGACTATTAAGGAAGATGCAGTTACAGGCAGGAACCACCTGATTAGGGATGAAGAATTCTGGGTGGTTTAATTCTAATACTGTCAGAAAGGTTAATATTTAATTACAAATTATAATCTCCTTATCCAAGCTGTCTTAATATGTCTTCATACACAGTGGAAATAGAATGAAAGTATCTGCTGACTTGCTAGTGTAAAAAGGGGAAAGAGTTTGTTGGAAGATTGATGATGCAAGTGATTCTTCAGTTGAAGCATCTAAAGGAAGACGTCCACCAGCACATGGTGCCCTAGGACACGGGAGAAATCCTTCAAGGCATGCCTCACCTAGAGAGGAGGAAGTAACCCCATCTCTCCTTGAAGGCAGCAAAGTATTGTAGACAAGGCTTTGAAGCTACTCACTCTTGGGTCAAGCTCCAGTTTTACTACTGGCCCTAGAGAGGTTATTTTACCTCTCAAAGTCCCAGCTTACTTGCCTCAAAGCAAAGCTATCAAATCCTGTATCTGAATTTGTCATGAGCGTTAAGTGAGATAACATGAATTACAACTAGCTCAGTTGCAGGCACTCAGTGTCTATTCCCTTGTCTTGTATTTCTCTGGCATTTTGTGCTACTCACAGAAGTACCTCATCTGTTATCTTACCTGTGTTTTCTTGGTTAAGTGCCTGCCTGTGATGAAGTGTGCTACATCAGACCCATTGTTCAGATAAGAATACTAAGACCTTACACCATCAGGTGGCCTGCCCAGGATCACTTGGTAGAGACAATATCAGAAGCCAATCTCTCAGATCCCCTCAATACCATTGTTTTAGCTACTCTAGGAGGCAAGAGAGTAAACTTGTCAGTTTGTCCCCATTTCACCTAGAAAGAAGATAGGCATGGGAAGCTCAATACAGCTGTCCATGCATTTCTTTTTCAATCACCCTGATGCTTTATAATTACTCCTACCTATACCTGCACCTGCACCTATACCTGTAGCTAGGAGGCTCTTGTGGCATCATTCATAGAGAGTTGAACTGCCAACCCAAAGTCCATATCTTATCTGATGTTTCAAATCCACCTGTGGTTCCAAGGGAGAGAGATGGGTAGTCTCCTCCCGTGTGATTGACAGCGAAGTGTTAGCTATGATTCAGTTCAGAGCTAACCCTCCAGTTTTCAGAGGCTATAAATCACATGAGAGGAGATTGCCCATTAGTCTCCGAATGGGTAGCTTGGTAGATTCAAGCCACCTGCCTTTGGGTTGCCAGTCCAGTCCTTACTCACTAGGCCATCAGAGCCCAATAAAATGAAGACATTTTAAAAGTAAAAAGATTAATCTGTTTTTATATTGTTTCAAAATATTCTAAAAGAGCCATGTCCACACAGATTTGCAAAGTCATGGGGCATCATGGAACTCATTTGTTGCTGATTTTGATTGCCCTTGTCCACATCTTCCTGTCACACATGATGGGGTGCACCTCAAGGACAGAGACTAGGATGCGCTCCCTGGACAGTGTAGCTCCAATGCCTACCTTATGCAGGATGCCCTCAGGAAACAGGAGGAAGAGAAACCTGTCTGTAAGAAGATGCATTCTGAGCCAGATTTAGAAGGACAGGGATATCACTTCGGTTTAGTAAGGTAGAGAATGGAAGAATCATGGGAGTGGAGTGTAGGGGTCAGGAGTGAATGGACAAAGAAAGAGCCAGGAAAAAGATGTCAGAGAATGAGCTAGAAGATCTTGGGTTGTTGGAATATGAAAACCTCGTGAAGTATTTGAGATTTGTCCTCCTTAATCCTTCCCTCTTCCTTCCTACCTCCAAGTAGAGTCAGTGCTTGCTTATTTCCATGCAGGGCTTCATCAGGCTGGACATGTCTGAGTTCCAGGAACGACATGAGGTGAGTGAGAGTTCTTTGAGAAATGCCTCAGCAAAGTGTGGTTTGGAGGGCCTACCAGGATGACTCTGCCATGATCCTTTGATGTGACTTGTCATTTGAGCTTTTAGACTTCAGATAATTCTAGAAGTTGTGGGATTTTCCTGTGGTGGCATAGTGGCGCATGTGTGCAGAACCACAGATGGTTTTGTGTAGAGTTTTTTTCTAAGGAATAATAAGGATTTGCCCACCCTCCTCTCGTGGCAGAGTCCTTGTCACACCAGGTGAGACACCTATTCTCCTTCCTAGCTTCTTTTCTTCCTTCCACCAGGTAGCCAAGTTTATTGGGTCCCCACCAGGCTATATTGGCCATGAGGAGGGTGGCCAGCTGACCAAGAAGCTGAAGCAGTGCCCCAATGCTGTGGTGCTCTTTGATGAAGTAGACAAGGCCCATCCGGATGTGCTTACCATCATGTTACAGCTATTTGATGAGGTAAAAGTTAAATCAGAGCTAGGGCAAGAGAGGGTGGGAGAACTGGAGGCCTGGGGAGGATGGGACCGGTAAAAACCAAGGACCTTGAGGACCATATAATTGTATTCAACTTACTGTCCCCACATATGTACATACAGTTGTTCAAAATTGTGGCTTAGCACCTTCTCTGTATCAGAACCTCAACTGGGCACTGGAAAGATCAAGTCTGCCAAGAATTGAAGGAGAAAAGAGACCAGAACTGTTCCTTCTTGCAAAAGGTTTTTTGGCCTTGTCAAATCACTGTCCATCTCCAGGCGTCATAGATCTGATGTCGCAAGGAGACCAAACCAGATATGGACCTCTTTGGCTCAGCCAGCTCTTGATCCTCCCTGAGCGTCAAACAGTCCTCTAAAAAGCTAATGATGTTGCTGCTGCTGCTAATAGTGATATTCTGGTTTTTGGAGCCATTTTTTTTTCCTCAGGAGCCCCCAGCTCTTCACAAACTTGATAGTCTCCTACCTAGAGAGGGTGAACTCTATGTAGAGAAAGAAATTCCTTTTATTCAGTGCATAGTATGTACTATTTTGTGCTAAAGATTTTGCAGACATTATTATTCCTTAGGAAGCTCTGGTGGCTTAGCGGTAAGGAATTGTGCTGTCCCCCGAAAGGTACATGGTTCGAATCCACCAGTTGCTCCATGAAAAAAAAAGATGGGGAAATCTTCTGTGCAGTTTACTGCCTCTGAAAACCCACTCAACAATACCTAACAACATTACTAATCCTTAAAATAACCAGGCAAAGTATGAGTCATCTCATTTTTAGAGATGGAAAAAAATTAGGATTCAAAGAGATTGAGGCTACAGAGCTGCTACCTGCAACAGTCAGAATTGAACTTACCTGGTCCATACTCTTAGTTGCTACCCCTCTGTACCACTCTTTACTTTGTTTAGGGGAGAGAGCAGATATGACTATAGAAGAGGATGCCTTTCACCTTTCAGAAGTCTTGCTTTACCAAAACAATGAAAGGAGTCAAGGACAGAGCATGAGGTCTTTTTCCAAGGATTGACCTCTCCTAACAACATGCCCAAAATATGTGGGACAAAATTTCATAATCCTTGCTTCTAAAGAGCACCCTGATTGTACTTTCTCCAAGTATTTGTTCTTTTGGCAGTCCGTGGGATATTCAGTACTCTTCACCAACACCACAGCTCAAAAGCATTCTCTCATCCTTGTTTATTGTCCGACGTTCAGATGCATAGGAATCTAAAAGACCGTGGTTTGAATCAGGTGCACCTTGTCTTTAAACTGATATCGTTGCTCCTTTTAGAAGTCCTTGACAGCCGATTTTCCCAATGTAGCACTTTTTCTATTTCTTAACTGCTGGTGCCGGGGGTATTGATTGTGGATCCAAGCAAGACTAACTCATTGGCAGTTTGTCTTTTCTCCATCATAATGTTGACCCAGAGGTCAACATTATGATGACCCAGAGGTGAGGATTTTTGTTTTCTTAATGTCGACAAGTAATCCATTTTAAAGACTGTGGAAGAGTGGAAGTGGGCATAATAGCTGACATTTTTGTCCTTTGTATACCAGGTACTCTTCTAAGAAATTTCTATCCATTACCTCATTTAATCTTCCCAATAACTCAACTTGGACACAACTATTGCTTTCATTTAAAGGATGTAGAAACTGAGGCAAAGTTATTTGCCCTCAGTCACATACATGGGAGGGAAAAATTAGGACTTGAATCCAGGCAGTCCAATTGTAGGGCCAGCACTTTTAGTAACATTGTTTAAATAACTATCTTACAGATAGGATCAAGAGGGAGAGGTTCATCTGCAGTGAAGCATTCAGAGGAAGTGGATTAGTCTTCTCCAGAGAAACAAAACCAATGTGTGTATAGCTATAGATAGATAAGTTGATTTTAGAAAAGTGACTCATGTGATGATGGGGGCTGCCAACTCTAAGTTGTTGTTGTTGTTAAGTATTGTCAAGTCACCTGCAACTCATAGCAATCCCTATATACAGCTCTGAAGCCAGCCCTGTCCTGACCCAGTCTCACTGACTCTGACATACCCCTTTGCCCTAGTTACTGTATCAATCCATCTCATCCAGAGTGTTCCTCTTCTATGCTGTTCCTCCACCTTTCCAAGCATGATGTCATTCTCCAAGGACCAGTCTCTCCTGACCACATGCCCAAAGTACATGAGACAGAGCTTCAAAATCCTAGCTTCCAAGGAGAAACTTGGTTTTGCCCTCTCCAAGACAGACCTGTTTGTTCTCTACGTGGTCCATGATATGTATGTTCAAGACTCTTCTCCAACACCACAGCTCAAAGGCATCTATTCTTCTTCTGTCATGCTTAGTCATTGTCCTGCTTTCTGAAGCATAGCAAGTAATTGCAAAGACCAAGGCTTGGATCAGGTGCACCTTAGTCTCTAGACTGACATCATTGCTTCTCAGTACTTTGGAAAAGTCTCTGACAGCAGATTTACCTAATGTAATTCATCTTTTAATTTCCTGAAGTGCCAAGAGTGTTCATTGTGGAGCTGAGCAAGCGGTAACTGTTAACAATCTCAATCTCTTCTTCATCCATCACGGTACTTCCAGATGGCCCAGTGGTGACAGGCTTTGTCTTGTTGATGTTAAGCTTCAATCCATATTGAAGACTACAGTCCTTGATCTTCTGCAGCAAGCGCTTCAGGTCCTCCTCAGTTTCAACAAGTGAGGTTGTGTCATCTGTGTAACACAGCTTGTTGATGAGTCTTCCTCCAGTCATGATGCTACATTCCTCCTCATAAAGCCCATATATAGATTGAAAAGGTATGGCGACAGGATGCACCCCTGTCAGGTGATAAGCTGAAAATTTAGGCAGGATTTCTATGTTACAAGCTAGAGGTGGACTTGCTTCTATGAGGGAAATCTGTTTTCCTCTTAAAAACTAGGTGATGGGTTGCAACCTTCCACATCATGAATGTTGAGTAATCTCCCTTAGTGCATCGACTGATTGGAAATGTTCATTTCATCAACAAAATGCCTTTCCAGGTGTTTTGACTAGTGTTTGATCAAACAAGCAGGTACAACAACCTAGATAAGAAGGCACATAAAAGGGGAGCTCTGGTGGCCTAGTGGCAAGAAGCTGTACTGCAATCCCAGAGGTACACGGTTCAAATCCACCAGATGCTCTGCCAGAGAAGGAGGGACAATTTCCTCCTGTACCTGTCAGATCTGATTTGATGGTACATGCACAAAAAAAAAAGAAGGCACATAAAATTAATCATCACGGTAAGAAGGAGCCCCCCCCCTTGAGGGTGGGCCTAGAAGCTATGAGATCCCTGACCTTGCTGGAGAGAGGTCTCTGATATACCACTAGCCCAGAAAGGTATGGCAGCAGTTAGCTGAAATAGAACCAGCATCTCCTGGGAGAAGCTTAGAGCCTCCCATGTAAGCCCTGTCTATTCTTTTATCTTGCTAGTCTGATTTCACAGACTATCTTCCCTCCTATAGCCCCAGCCAGCCTACTGATGTTTATCTTGCTGGTTCCACTAACCAAAGCTGAAATCTAAGTATGATGATTGTGGTGGTTGCTGCCGAGTCGGCTCCGACTCATGACGACCCCGTGTAAGACAGAAGGAAACATTGCCCAGCCCTGTGCCACCTTGTCATAATGGTTGGCATGCTGTAATCTACTACTGTGACCACTGTTTATTTGAGTGCCTTCTAACTTGAGTAGCTCATCTTCCAGCACTTAATCAGACAGTATTTCATTGTGATTCATAGAATTTTCATTGGCTTACTTTTGCAAATAGATCACCAGGAGTTTCCTCCTTATCTGCCTTAGTCTAGAAGCTCCAATAAAACTTGTTCCCCATGCTAGTATTGGAAATAATCAGGGCATAACTTCTGGCATCATCGCAGAATGCAAACTACTACAGTGGAACAAACTAACAGAAGGATGGTGGCATCTGAGTTTACTTAGCCATATTTATGCACTCCTTCAGGATAAGGATCTTGCTGTTTTCACTACAGTTCTCAGAGCAAACAAAATTAAGGTTGTTGGGTTTTGTTGTTGTTGTTATGTACTCTCATGTTGGAACCAACTCAGAGCTGATGCCCCAGTGGGTTTTCAGAGGCTGTAAATTGCACAGGAGGAGATGTCCATCTTCCTCCCACAAAGCAGCTGGTGGAGCTGAAGCACTTGTCTGACTGCTAGACCCTTCAATGCAACAATAACTCCGTACATTTTTTAAAGACGAGTAAGCATTGCCAGGTGAGCAGAGTGGAGAAGGGCTGGCAGTAGGGGAACAGCCTAATGCATTCAGGGAACTTTATCTGTTAAATATTGCCTAATGGAAGAGAGAAAGTAGGAACAGATTGGTGGAAGTGAGGTCGATGAGGTAAGTTTTCTAGTGGATAATTAAGAGCCACTGAAAGACTGTAAGCAGTAAGGAAGCACAGTCATTGTTTGCATTTAAAAAAAAATCCTGAGACAAAGATATAGAGAATGGACTGTAAGAGAAAAGAGAACCAGCAAAGAGACTGTTGAATACTTCAAGCTAGAAATGGGGAGGCCTGTTCTAAAGCAGAGGGCGCAAGGATAGAAGGAAGAGCAGCTAGAAGTTAGACAGCAGAGCTCAGTGCTAGAATGTAGGGTGTGGGGAGCCAAGGATGACCAGCGGACAGATTTCTGGCCTGGATTATGGAACATCTATTGCTGCCATCAGCAGAGGCAGGGCAACAGGAAGGTAAGCAGCAGGTTGGGGAGGAAGGTGATAAGCTGAGTTTTGGAAATGTTGAAAATGAGACACCTGTGTGACAGCCAGGTGGAGATGTCCATGAGGTCATTCTCCTGTTGTATTTATGGGAAAGGGCTGGAGCGGAAGTAGAGATTCAGGAGTCCTCCAGCACAGAAGATGTTACAGAAGCCACTGGAAGGTGTGAAGAGAGGAAGAGAGACCTTAAACTTATCAGGAAAGAATAAAAAAAAATTTCTAGAGGGTAGGAGGCCTGTCACGAGAATGTGGTTCATGTGTTTATTCTGGAGGTGTTGTATGAAGCACAGGGACAGGGACACAGAGGAGACGATGCATAAAGGCAGTTTTGGTGATTGGTTAAGTGCTGTACTAGGGATCAGTAGCAAGTACAGGAAGTTATGAGGACACTTGTCTATACTGAGGGCATGAAGGAAGACTCCCTAAAGGGAAAATGCCTCAAATTAATAGGAAATTTGAGTCACTTAGAGGGCAAAAGCCCTCATTCCTGCAATTCGGTTCACCCAAGCCTGGGCCTACAAAAGCCAGAGCCCAAGTACTCTCACCAGAAACCTTGCAGGACTAATGCTGGATATTTCCCAGCTGAGCCCAGAGCCTACAGCACAGAGCAGGAGTCCCTGGAGGACCCCTTCCCACCCCAGAGAGGACGCCATCCTGTTCCCACATCCCTAACCTCACCCAGGAGGTATGAGGCAGGGACAATGACAGCTCCCTCTTTGGGACATAGGTTTATTGCCAGGGAAACTGAGACGAAGGAGACATGAACTCTGTGAAAGTCACCCTTGGGGTCATTCATACCCTGCACCTGCTCCCCTCATTCATCTGGGACCCATCAGCAGGCCCAGTTATGAGCAGAGCTTTGATCTCTCAGAATGAAATTGCTGCTGGGTTATTGCTCTGGCCAGGACAGCAGACTGTGAACTCAGTCTTCAGGGGTGAGCCCCATCGAAGCAAGTATGGAGCACAGAGTTTCAAATGCGTACACTCAAGTACATCACACATGTGTGCAGACAGGCCCCCCCAAACGAGGATTACCTTCAGTGGGTTTTGTTTGGGTATACCCTATAAGTAGGAGGTTTGAGTGAAAAGCTGTAGTGAGAGCTCAGATACATCCACTTGCAGTCTTGCCTTCCTCTTTTCACCTTCTAGGCAGGAACTAGGGAGTGTGGCCAACACCAGGCCCCTTTGGAATAGATCCTTTTGAAATTAATACTTTTCTCAGAGACTCATGCTAAAGATTATGTTAAGGAAAACTGTTTGCAGAGCCCCTTGGACTGTACTCAGCACACAGTAGGTACTCAGTTACTGCTCATTCCTTCCCCTGTTGCTTCTAAGGGGCAAACTGGGTTTGCCATTACATTGGTTCATTGGCTCGAGAAGCACAGGCTGACAGAGGAAGGGGAAGCTTTGTGACACTCCGGACTGAAGCTGGGGCAGAATTTGGCATCCTTGGCATTCAGCAAAAACCAACAGGCTAAGGTCCGTGACCAGTCCTCAGAGCCATATTCAGAGAAGCTTCCTGTTAGAAGAATAAAAAAAAATGCAAATTGACTTTGGCAAATTCTGAGAGAGGGAAAAAAATTGAGATAAAATATTCGTGGGGCCTCTGGATAGAACTCTAGCCTGGTGTAGAGGAAGGGACATGGTTTCTGGAGTCAGACAGTTCAGATCTTAGCTCTTCTATTTTCTAACTTGGAGAACTTGAACAAGTTACTTAACTCCTCTGAGCCTTAGTTCCTTTGTAGCGATCATAATTACACCTCCTTCTAAAGGTGGTTGTAGGTCTTGAGGAACCTGACCAGCAGCAGTTAAGTACTGTGTGCCACGTTCTAGGACATGGTGAAGAGCAAGACCAGGCCTCTGCCCGGGTGGAGCAATATTCTAGCAGGCAGTGAACTAGTTCATGGAAAGCACTGAACAGAGCCCCTATAAATGAAAGTGAAAGTGCCTTATAAATGTTCACTGTTGTTACCACATCATTTTATCTCCAGGAGTCCCCATTGTTGCTTTGTCATAAATGACTGTAAAGTACAATTGTACAGTAATACTCTTGAGGTTTGGTAAGCAGGCCAGGCTTCATGTCCCTGAACTGAGTGGCCCACACAGCTATATGTTATAGTTCCTGTCTCTTCTCTGCACTGTTTGCTCCTTTTCTCTTTCCCTGGTGCATCTGCCTTCTGTATACATACATTCTCCTGTGTCACTTGTTGCTAGATGCTGCCAAGTTCACTCCATCTACCTCATGACAGCCTTATGTATAACACGTCTAAACCCTGCATGACCTTGTACCATCTTTGTGGTCATTGCTATGTTTTGAGTTCATTGTGTTATCGCCAGTTCATCTCACTGAGAAGTTCCTTTGATTTCACTAACCCTCTACTTTGCCACATATGATATTCTTTATCAGGAATTTTTTTTTCTAATCTGTCCAATAAAGTCTTGCCATGCCGAAGAGCTGAAGATTCCAGGGAAACTTCCCAAGTTAGTTAATCCAAAAACTAAACCGATTGTCATCAGATTGATTCTGACTTATAGTGACACATATGACAGGACTTCCAAAGCTATACATCTTGATGGAAGCAGACATCTCATCTTCTCCCATAGAGAAGCTGGTTGATTCAAACTTCTGACGTTTCAGTTAATAGCCCCACACTTTAGGTACCACTGGGTCTTCTCAAGTTGCCTCATAGAAAATTGATATTTTTCTACCCCTCTGTCATCAAGTAACTCTGGTGATGTAATGCATTATGTGTTACACCACTAATCAAAAGTTAAACAGTCTTAATCCATCAACTGAGTCTTGGGAGAATGATGGGCAATCTCCTTCTGTAAAGATTAAGAGCCTCAGAAATCCAATGGCAGGTCCCTGTGAGTCAGAGTCAAAGACAGTAGTTTGAGTTTCTCCCTCAGGCCAAAGGATGGCTCTAGACATTGTAGGTATTATACTTGTTTCCATTTTTTCTGTTCCTTTTATCCAACAGTGTGTATATATTGTGTGCAATAGTAATAACACTTCTGAGTAGATGTGTTGCTTGGTTTATTAAGTACCTTTCACCATTAAGACCACATCTGGTCCTCATAATAGTGCTGTAAAATAACATTCTCTGAATTCCTTTAGCAACGTGACCTTCCTTTGATCATGGCACTTAAGCAACTCCATTTTCAATGCAATCTCCTGGGTCTAACCATCTGATCTTCCAGAGGGGAGAACATAGAATCTAGAGTCAGGCAGTTGAAATCTCAGCTTTTCTGTTTTTCAGCTGTGAAACCTTGAACAAGTTACTGGCAACCCCATGAACAACAGATCCTGTGCCGTGACCTATCCTGTGCCATCCTCATCAACTCAGTGACATACATGACTGCAAACACTGCGTCAGTCCATCTGGTTGAGGATCTTCCTCTCTTTCATTGACCCTCCATTACCAAGCATTTCCAAGCCATATCTGATGGTTCTTTGGAGCTGTTCAGTACTCTTCTCCAAGACCAGAGCTCAAAGAGAGCAATTTTTCTTTTGTCAATCCTTATTCATTGTATATCTCTAAGTTGAAGAGCAAGTGATTAAAAAGACCATGACCCAAATCATGTGCACCTTAGTCTTCACACTGACCTCATTGTTCCTCAGTAATTTGAGAGGTGCCTAACAGCAGACTTGCCCAGTGCAGTAAACCTCTTAATCTCCTGACTGCTGGTATCAAATATATTGATTGTGGATCCAAGTAAAATGAAGTCATTGACAGATTCAAACTTCTCCATTTATCATGATGTTGCTTATCTGTCCAGTGTTGAGAATTTTTGTCTTCTTGATGTTGAGATGCAATCCATATTGAAGGCTGTAGTCTTTGATTTTCTGCAGCAAATGTTTCAAGTCTTTCTCACTTTTAGCAAGAATGATTGTATCACCTGCATAATGCAGGTTGTTGTTGAGTCTTCCTCTCATTCTGATGATCCTGATGCTACATTCTTCTTCATAGAGTCCAACTTTTCAGCTGATTTGCTTAGCATACAGAACAGGTATGGAGAAGGGATGCAACCCTGATGCACACCTTTCCTGATTTTAAACCATGCATTTTAAACCCTTGCTTCATTTGGACAACAGCTTCTTGGTCTTATTATACCTCTTTTTCAGGGTGATTTAAGACTTTAGGCGTTCAGTTCATGGATAGTGACTATGCCAGGTTCTGGGGTACTTCTGTAGACTGGAAAAATGTTGACGCTCAGTGAATCTTCAGTGCCCTAACACAGAGTCTAACCAGAGTGGACCTCTAAGAAAATAAATGGATGGATAGAGGAGTAGGTAAACAGGCTCACTTCACGGTCCCAGGGATAATTTGGTGTCCTGAGAGGTGCCAAACTGCAGGTGCAGTCTCACCGACAGACACTCACAACAAGGAAGCAGTTAAACCCAAGGCAGTGTGCATTGCAGCCAGGTGTGAATGTGGTCCTCAAAGAACCCAGGGAGCAAACACCAACTCTGCCAGGGATGAGGGAAGCACTCGGGGTTCTGGAGAGGCCTTTCCTAGCGCAAGTACATCATGAGAACACTGAAATCTGCCCAGGTTTGTGGCTCTGGCTGAGGAGTCACTATTCTTTCCCAGGGTCGGCTGACAGATGGAAAAGGGAAGACCATTGACTGCAAAGATGCCATCTTCATCATGACCTCCAACGTGGCCAGCGAAGAGATCGCACAGCATGCGCTGCAGCTGAGGCAAGAAGCCCTGGAGCTGAGCCATAACCGCATCGCCGAGAACCTTGGTATGCTGCATGGTCTTCTGGGGGCAAGGATTGCAACTGGGGTCTTGGTAGGCAGCTTTGTCCTTTAAGTGGCATTGACCAGATACTAGGTATCATACCAGGTGAAGGAGGGAGAAAAAAACAAAAGGAAACAGTGCTTCCACTTCCTCAAGAAGGTGCCACATCTGTTAGATATCAGGAAAGCTCCAGACAGGAGCCACCTAGGGTGAGGGACAGAAAAAGATCTCGGAGACTGAAGAGATAGATGCAGAGTTACTGGCAAGGCATAAGTGCAATGAGGGAATACCAGATCAAAAACTTTATGGAATTGAACTCACAGGGAAGCAGGAGGCCCTTAGGAAGTACTGAAAAGAGTGTCAGAAAAGAGACTATGTCTGTCACCTTCCTATTTAGATTGAACCCGACAGTCCCCTTCTTCCAAGCCAGAACTCAAGTCTTTATCCCAGCCTTTCTCGTCTCTGCCCCTTTCCCTCATATACTCTCCATCCTAAGGAACCCTAGGTTTGTATCACATGAGAACTGGAACACTTCAGAAAGCACCTGGTCCAAGCCTGCCACTGATTAAGGGAGGGGACCAGGCCTTGGCCAGGACCACAGTCAAGGACAGAGCAAAGCTCTTCTCATGGATACAACCAAGAGGTAGTCACTGCTTCAAAACTTCCTAGGCTATAACTCTGTCTTCACAGGGGATGTCCAGATTAGTGACAAGATCACCATCTCAAAGAACTTCAAAGAGAATGTGATTCGCCCCATCCTGAAAGTAAGTTGTCTCTCTGTCCATTCTGCTAAAACTAAGGGGGAGGAGGCATTGCCATTCTAAAGATACAGAAATGCCCTTCCCTCTGCCCTACTGAGCTCACTCCACCCCTACCCTGGCCCTGCAGGCTCACTTCCGGAGAGATGAGTTTTTGGGACGGATCAATGAGATTGTCTACTTCCTCCCTTTCTGCCACTCGGAGCTCATTCAACTAGTCAACAAGGAACTGAACTTCTGGGCCAAGAGGGTAAGACTCAGGACTACCTCTCGGTGGGGATGGGACATCTGCTTATTGGAAATCCAGAAACGCTGGCCTGGATGCACAACTGCGAAAGTGTGTGTGCACACACATTGGAACCAGTGGTGTTAGGCTCAGGGCTCAGGCCAGAGTAGGAGGGATGGAAAGCGCTGGGCCTCGTGAGAGCATGCTCTTATCTGACCTGTCTCAGGCCAAGCAAAGGCACAACATCACACTGCTGTGGGACCGAGAGGTGGCAGACGTGCTGGTCGATGGCTACAACGTGCACTATGGCGCCCGCTCCATCAAACATGAGGTGAGCGATGACTGGAGGAACTGCATTCTAAGAAAAGTGACGTATTTCTTCCTCACTAGAGCCCCTTGACTCATCACTTGGGCTCCCATCCTGACCTTCTCTAGTTTAAGTGCTTGAATTGTCTTACTCCCAAAGAAGCTGCCCCTTTAGAAACGAAAGCATAAGTAGATCAAGTATAACCTTTGCCCTGGAGGGTGACCAAGTATGAACCCCCAGTGGGAATGGGGAATCCTCAGACCAGGTACCATTACATCTCCAGCACAAACCTACAAGCTAGGTGTTGCTGGTCACACTTTGCAGACCAGAAAACTTAGGCTAAGAGAAGTTTTCTGACTCATCTCAGAGGATTCAAGAGTAAATGATAGAGGCCTGACCTCTCGTTGCCCAGGCCACATGTTGTCCATGCCATGCCACTGATGACCACTTCACCGCCTACAGGTAGAACGCCGTGTGGTGAACCAGCTGGCAGCAGCCTATGAACAGGACCTGCTGCCAGGTGGCTGTACTCTGCGCATTATTGTGGAGGACTCAGACAAGCAGCTTTTCAAGAGCCCTGAACTGCCTTCACCCCAAGAGGAGAAGCGTCCACCCAGGTTACGGTTGGAGATCATTGATAAGGACAGCAAGACCCGCAAACTTGACATCCAGGCACCACTACACCCCGAGAAGGTGTGCTACATACTCTAGCATCTATCTGCCTGCCTACATGTGCCCTCAACATCTAATAAATGCCCCTTGGCTGTGGCCTGGCAACTGACTTACCTTCCCTAAGCCTCTTCCTCCTCTTTATGTAGTCTGGGCCTACTTGCCTCCTCACAGGCCCTGGGAGACCCTTCCTTGGCCCCAAAGTCTTGGGCAAGAATCTTGACCTACTCTGGCCCCTTGGCTTGGGGCTTCTAATTTGCTCAGTCTCCAGAAGAGGGGCTGCCTACACCCTCCTTTCAAGGTGAGGAGCGGCTCCCTCAGTTCTGTCCTTCAGCGTGATCTTCCCCGCACCCCCTAGACTCTGGAATCCTATCGTGCACCCAGGAATCTCAGAGTATGGCAGCTAAGAACAGGTCTGACTTGACGGAGACAGGGACCCGGCTGGGAACTGCCTACACTCTGCTGGCCATCATGCAATTCAATCCTCGATTGTCTCTGTGGGGTGTGGTGAAGGAGTGTAGAGGCCCAGGCATATATGGTTCTGCTGTCTAGATTCTCCATGATCTAAAATTTCAAGGCAAAGGCATCTATAGAATTCTTTCCTCCTTCCATTGCCCTGTCATACCTACTAACACCACCCCCACCCCATGTCCTGGGCTTAGTCTCAGCCATGTTTCCCCAGCCTTGCAACTAGGCCAGTGCAGAGTGTCTATATGATGGGAGACTGACCAGTTCATTATCCTCAGCTGTGGCATTACCTGACAGTACCAAGCAAGCTCGACTCAGTGGGTTCCTCTTTCAGGAGACTAATAACACAGACACATGGGAAGCTGTAGAGGGAGAACTCATGCAGCCAGGCTCTACACAGGTGGCCATGGAGTCTGCTCCAGCTCCGACTGTGCTGCTGCCCTAGCTTGGTTAGTCCGACTAAACCTCTTCCTCTTGTACCCTTCAGCCTCTAAAGAGAGGGGCTGGACACCTTTCCCAAGGGGCAATCCTCAGACCAGCCATGCTTTTTTTTGGCTACTGATGATCACCCTCTGGCCTCCCAGTGCAAAGCCTTTTTGGAATCCTCCTTTAGTTATTCACTGATCTCTTTCACGAGACAGAAAATGGCAAGAATCAGTTTTCCTTGGTTGATATAAGAAGTTGGTCATAACAATATGGTGGTTATGAGGTGGTCAAGTCGGTGTGTGGGCTACAGCTGTTGCTCCAGTAGTCACATTCCGTCCCCCAGGGTCTGTCTCCTGCTCTGTACCTCAGTGACTACAGTTCTTTTTCTTTTCCACTGTTTTTTAACTGTGATACACATGCTACAAAATATTTACCATTCCAACATTCTTTACATGTGCAATTCAATAATGTTAATCATATTTATCCTGTTCATTCCATCACCACTATCCATTTCCAGATTTTTCCATCACCCTTAACAGAAGCTCAGTGTCCTCTAAGCAATGAGTCTCCCCTTTTTAAAAAACTTTTCTTTTGAAATAGTTTGAGACTTTCAGAAATAATAGAGAATTCCCATAGGCTCTCTATTCAGCTTCCCTTAACATTAACATCTCATTAATAGGGCAGTATAGTAAAATTATCAAAGCCCGGGAATTAACACTGATCCAGTACTAGTAACAGACTTTATTCAAATTTTGACAGCATTTCCACAGATGTCTTTTTTCTGGTTTTAGAGTTAGCCCAGGATCCTTGAACCTTTTTTCCCCTTTATTCATACATTTCCTCTGCACAGTAATGACACTACAAAATTATAACAGTAGAAAATAATTTGGCCAATCTCTTGAACAACATTGCAGTAATGATGTAATTTGAAGTCCCTTCTTGCCTCTGTATCTGAAAATACTGGATCAAGATTTAATTAATGGGAGTTGAATATAATTTTATATTGGTTGTTTTGCAGTGATTTTTGTTTTATTGTATTTGTTGTGATTTGGGTAAAAGTTTACAGAGCAAATTAGTTTCCATTCAACAATATGTATGTTTATTTCATGACATTAATCACCATTGCCTCTATAAAAGCTCTCCTCTCACATCCTCCCTTGGTCCCCTACTTCCAATAGCCCTTCTTCTTTGCCCTTCTGAGCCCTAGTTTTGGGCATGTGCTGCTATTTTCATCTCCTACGGCTGATTATTCTGAGAAGTTTATTCCTCACAGGTACTATTGTTCATTCTGTAGGTCTGTTATTTGAAAAATGATCCCTGGGGGTGAGTTCAGTCCAGCTTTAAAGAATGTCTAAAGGCCACAGTCTTGTAGGTCACTTTTGGGTTGGTTTTTTTCCCCCTGTCCACATTGCACTTTGTTGATCAGACTTCCTACATCTTGTGGGAAGATACTTTGAAAATTATTCAACTCCTCTATGCTAAAAATTTCTTGAATCACTGATTTTAGCATCCATCAGTGGTTCTTGCTTACATGTCTTTCGGTTCTTCTATTTTACGTTGCCTTTCATGATCTTGACACTTTTGAAAGTCTTCAATTTGAGAATGATACTTTTGAAAACTCCAGGCTGGTTATGACCATCAGTTTGAGTCATGATTTCACATGATTAGATTGAAGCATACATTTTGGCCAGAGTATCATAGAGGTGATGTACCTTCCTTAGTGCCTCAAATAGGTGGTGGTGGTTGTATGAAGTGCTCTCGAGTCAAGTGTGACTCATAACAACCCTGCGAACAACAGATCTGAACCCCGCCCTGTCCTGTGCCATCCTCATAGTCTCTGACATACGTGGTATCATTGCTGCAGCCACTGTGTCAGTCAATCTGGTTGAGGGTCTTCCTCTCTTTTGCTGAACCTCCATCTTTCCAACCATGATGTCCCTTTGCAAGGAATAGCCAGCCACTCCTAACAACATACCTAAAGTAGGTGAGACAAAGTGTCACCATCCTTTCCTTTTAACAAGCACTCTGACTGTACTTTCCCTAAGACATATCTATTTGTTTTGGTAGTCCATGGAACACTCATCACCCTTCTCCAACACCACAGCTCAAAACATCAGTCCTTCGTCCATCATTGTTATTCATTGTCCAGCCCTCAAATGCATAGCATTTGATTGAAAAGACCATGGCTTGAATCAGGCTCACCTTAGTCTTTAAGCTGACTTCCCCGCTCTAATATTATGAAGAGGTCCCCAATTGCAGATTTTCCCAGTCTAATATATATTTTGATTTCTTGACTGCTGGTACTGATAGGAGATAATGTTAATATGGATCATATGGCTGTAATAATATATACGATTGCTATATTAGTATATACCAGCTTTTTCCACTGTTTACTAAATTTCCCTTTGAAAACACTAAGAATCTTGTGGGAAGATCCTTTGAAAATTATTCAACTACTCCTCTACGCTAAAAATTTCTTGAATCACTGATTTTAGCATCCATCAGTGGTTCTTGCTTATTGTAAGCATTTTGTTGCATCTGTCTAATGATGATTTTCCTTTTATTCCTTCTATATTTAATAATTTATTATCTACTCTAAGGAGCTCTACTGGCACAATGGTTAAGTGTTTAGCTGCCAACCAAAAGGGAAGTGATTTGAATCCACTCAACAATTTTACAGGATAAAGACCTGGCCATCTGCTTCCTGTAACGATTGTTGTTGTTGTATACTATAGAGTCAGAACTGACCCATAACTGACCCCCCCAGCAGGTTTTCAGAGGCAATTAATCACATGGGAGGAGATTGACCATCCTTCTCCCGTGGAGCAGCCCGTGACCTTGTACTGCAGGCCTTCGAGATTGCAGAGCAGCTTCTTGCCACTAGGCCACCAGAGCTCCCATGTAACAGTTACAACCTAGGAAACTTTGTGGGCCAGCTTCTCCTCTATCCCATTCGGTCACTGTGAGTCTCAACTGGCTCAGTGACACCTAGTAACAACAGTCTATTCTAAGCAAGAACTGCAACTTTCACTCCATTTATTTATTCTGGAAACTTACCTATGTAAATATGAACTCATGTAATCTATTTTATTTTATAGGTATAATCTAATGGTAACATAGTTTGTTTTGTTACTCAATTGTCTCGGATTTAGCCATCAAGAACTCTTTAACACTGGCTCCTTGTCCTTTCCACATTTCCCTTATCATTTTTTACTACTTCCTTCCTTTGGCAGTATGTTTCATGGTCACCTTATATTTTCATATCCTAGCCCAAGTATGAGTCATTTCTCAAAGCATCCTCTGATTCCTTTTACTCAGTGGTACTTGGAAACTAAGATCTGAACATTAGATGTACTCATTACTCCTAGGAGTACTGCTTCTGGACATTCTCATCAGACAAAGCTAGTGAGGATATATGTGTATGTTGACACATGTGAGCACACATATCTGAATTTAGCATTGTAACTACCATCTGTATATTTATTTTGAAAACATGAGTTCATGTTAATACTTTATATTCTTTTATTTTATTATATAAAGTATGTAATTGTATAACAACAAACAGTATGATTTTCAAAGAAATTAATTTTTTAGCAGTACTTTTTTTCCTTTGATATTTGTTTACATGCAAAGGTCATAACGTTTGTATACATTGTTTTTCACACTGGATCTTTCCCCTCTTCTTTCTTTACCACTCCTTCCTTCCTCCATCAAATTGTGTGACCCTTTGATTAAACCCCTCCCCCTTCCTTGGATCCTTGTACTCATTCTACAATAATGGTCTTATATATTATTTGTCCTCATGAGATTGAGTTATCACTACTTTCCATTCGCCACTTACCTTCCTGAGAAGAAAAGGTAGAGGGCAGGGTAGGCCCTCAGAGTTCAGGATCTTAAGCATCAATTCTTAGATTTCTTTGCCAGAACTGCTAGGTAACGTTGGACTGATGCCTTATGGTTCAGTAGCACCCTAGGCAATTCTCAGCTCACTTGCATTACTTACACCATGTCTGTCATCATAACTAGAATAAAAGCTCCAAGAGACCAGAGACCCAGCTATTCAGCTGACTGTGCTAGTCCTAGAACTTGGCCCAGTGCCAGCACATGACAGGGGCTTGATAAATGTTTGGATGAATGGTAGGTGGCTCTGCAGCAAGCACAAATCTTTACAGTGAACCTTGGGACAGAGTCGTGTCACTCATTTGCTCAGCACCTGGTTGGCTGGTGGGTTACTATATGTGCTTGTA